AGCAACTGGCAAATGATGGTATCATTGTGGAAAAGATCTGTTGGGTGAAACTCTGAGTAACAACATGTTTCTTCTTTGAAGATCGCACAGCGTGAAACTCTGAGTAACAACATGTTTCTTGTTTGAAGATCACACAGTGTGAAACTCTGAGTAACGACATGTTTCTTGTTTGAAGATCACACAGCGTGAAACTCTGAGTAACGACATGTTTCTTCTTTGAAGATCACACAGTGTGAAACACTGAGTAACAACATGTTTCTTGTTTGAAGATCACACAGCGTGAAACTCTGAGTAACAACATGTTTCTTGTTTGAAGATCACACAGTGTGAAACTCTGAGTAACGACATGTTTCTTGTTTGAAGATCACACAGCGTGAAACTCTGAGTAACGACATGTTTCTTGTTTGAAGATCACACAGTGTGAAACACTGAGTAACAACATGTTTCTTGTTTGAAGATCACACAGCGTGAAACTCTGAGTAACAACATGTTTCTTGTTTGAAGATCACACAGTGTGAAACTCTGAGTAACGACATGTTTCTTGTTTGAAGATCACACAGCGTGAAACTCTGAGTAACGACATGTTTCTTGTTTGAAGATCACACAGCGTGAAACACTGAGTAACGACATGTTTCTTGTTTGAAGATCACACAGCGTGAAACACTGAGTAACAACATGTTTCTTGTTTGAAGATCACACAGCGTGAAACTCTGAGTAACAACATGTTTCTTGTTTGAAGATCACACAGTGTGAAACTCTGAGTAACAACATGTTTCAGGATTTGTTTTGATATTTCTAATATGAATTAATCTTTCAGGGGCTGATATTATGATGCAGTTGGATGATGTTGTTCACAGTACTACAACAGGACCAAGAGTAGAGGAGGCTATGCATAGGTTAGTTTTATAATCTACATTTCATATAATTAGTTGTCAAGTTCTATAATCTATGTGTCATATAAATAGTTGTCTAGTTCTATAATCTACATTTCATATAAATAGTTGTCAAGTTCTATAATCTACGTGTCATATAAATAGTTGTCTAGTTTTATAATCTACATTTCATATAAATAGTTGTCAAGTTCTATAATCAACATTTCATATAAATAGTTGTCAAGTTCTATAATCTACATTTCATGTAAATAGTTGTCAAGTTCTATAATCTACATTTCATATAAATAGTTGTCAAGTTCTATAATCTACATTTCATATAAATAGTTGTCTAGTTCCATAATCTACATTTCATGTAAATAGTTGTCAAGTTCTATAATCAACACTTCATATAAATAGTTGTCAGGTTCTATAATCTACATTTCATATAAATAGTTGTCAAGTTCTATAATCTACATTTCATATAAATAGTTGTCTAGATCTATAATCTACATTTCATGTAAATAGTTGTCAAGTTCTATAATCAACATTTCATATAAATAGTTGTCAGGTTCTATAATCTACATTTCATATAAATAGTTGTCTAGTTCTATAATCTACATTTCATATAGATAGTTGTCAAGTTCTATAATCTACATTTCATATAAATAATAGTTAATTTTTTGTCAATTATTTTGACTATGGAAAACATCTAATTTGTTTTTGGAGAGTAAGGGAAGGAAAGAGCAGATGCTGTTGTCTCATTGTGCTTTGCATGATATTGCCTGTAAGAGAATTTCTGTAGTAAATCCTGTAATAAGAGAAACTTAATAAATATGATGTCTGTAGTAAATCATTTAGTAAGAGAAACCTAATAAATATGATGTCTGTAGTAAATCATTTAGTAAAAGAAACCTAATAAATCTGATGTCTGTAGTAAACCATTTAGTAAGAGAAACCTAATAAATATGATGTCTGTAATCAATCATTTAGTAAGAGAAACCTAAAAAATATGATGTCTGTATTAAATCATTTAGTAAGAGAAACCTAATAAATATGATGTCTGTAATAACTCATTTAGTAAGAGAAACCTAATAAATATGATGTCTGAAGTAAATCATTTAGTAAGAGAAACCTGATAAATATGATGTCTGTAATAACTCATTTAGTAAGAGAAATCTAATGAATATGATGTCTGTAATAAATCATGTAATAAGAGAAACCTAATAAATATGATGTCTGTAGTAAATCATTTAGTAAGAGAAACCTAATAAATATGATGTCTGAAGTAAATCATTTAGTAAGAGAAATCTAATAAATATGATGTCTGTAATAAATCATTTAGTAAGAGAAACCTAATAAATATGATGTCTGAAGTAAATCATTTAGTAAGAGAAATCTAATAAATATGATGTCTGTAATAAATCATGTAATAAGAGAAACCTAATAAATATGCTGTCTGTAATAAATCATTTAGTAAGAGAAACCTAAAAAATATGATGTCTGTATTAAATCATTTAGTAAGAGAAACCTAATAAATATGATGTCTGTAATAACTCATTTAGTAAGAGAAACCTAATAAATATGATGTCTATAGTAAATCATTTAGTAAGAGAAACCTAATAAATATGATGTCTGTAGTAAATCATTTAATAAGAGAAACCTAATCAATATGATGTCTGAAGTAAATTATTTAGTAAGAGAAATCTAATAAATATGATGTCTGTAATAAATCATTTAATGAAAGAAACCTAATAAATATGATGTCTGTAGTAAATCATTTAGTAAGAGAAGCCTAATCAATATGATGTCTGTATTAAATCATTTAGTAAGAGAAACCTAATGTATATGATGTCTGTAATAAATCATTTAATAAGAGAAACCTAATAAATATGATGTCTATAGAAAATGATTTAATAAAAGAAACCTAATTAATATGATGTCTTTAGTAAATTACTTAGTAAGAGAAACCTAATAAATATGATGTCTGTAGTAAATCATTTAGTAAGAGAAACCTAATAAATATGATGTCTGTAGTAAATCATTTAGTAAGAGACACCTAATAAATATGATGTCTGTAGTAAATCATTTAGGAAGAGAAGCCTAATAAATATGATGTCTGTAGTCAATCATTTAGTAAGAGAAACCTAATAAATATGATGTCTGTAGTAAATCATGTAGTAAGAGAAACCTAATAAATGTGATGTCTGTAGTAAATCATTTAGTAAGAGACACCTAATAAATATGATGTCTGTAGTAAATCATTTAGTAAGAGAAGCCTAATAAATATGATGTCTGTAGTCAATCATTTAATAAGAGAAACCTAATAAATATGATGTCTGTAGTAAATCATTTAGTAAGAGACACCTAATAAATATGATGTCTGTAGTAAATCATTTAGTAAGAGAAGCCTAATAAATATGATGTCTGTAGTAAATCATTTAGTAAGAGAAGCCTAATAAATATGATGTCTGTAGTCAATCATTTAGTAAGAGAAACCTAATAAATATGATGTCTGTAGTAAATCATTTAGTAAGAGAAACCTAATGGATATGATGTCTGTAGTAAATCATTTAATAAGAGAAAACTAATAAATATGATATCTGTAGTAAATCATTTAGTAAGAGAAACCTAATAAATATGATGTCTGTAGTAAATCATTTAGTAAGAGAAACTCAATAAATATGATGTCTGTAGTCAATCATTTAGTAAGAGACACCTAATAAATATGATGTCTGTAGTAAATCATTTAGTAAGAGAAACCTAATAAATATGATGTCTGTAGTAAATCATGTATATTTTACATATGTCTCAGTTTAAGATTCTGTATTTATTTGTAATATAATATATCTATATTGTAGAACTATACGATGGTTAGATAGATGTCTGAAAGCTAATAAGAGACCAAGTGAACAATGTATATTTCCTATAGTACAGGGTGGATTGGATCCAGAATTACGAAAACAGTGTGCTCAAGGTAGGACATCTTCACAATGCTATTACAAACTGTGTCTTACATGAATAGTGACTATTGCAGTCAAGGTATAAGACAAAGTACGTAATTGCCTGACATTGTGAAGTAAAGGTAGGAAGGTGTCATAAATATTCTAAATAAACTATATTTTGTATATTGTCTCTATAAAAGGGATGCTGAGTTGACATACACGTATATACCAAGTAAACATTATTAGCTATGTGGACTCTCTGAAAGAACGCCTAGTTGACAAACCTATATACCAAATAAACCATATTAACTATGTGGACTCTCTGAGGTAATCAATGACACTGTAAGAGTCTGTATTCTCTGATGAGAGTCCTTCTATATTTATGTGGATATTGATAAATGATAATTTAATCTTACTAGTCCAATCCCAACTATTATTTTATTATATATTAATAACAATCTGATTAAACTATATCACACATTCCTATAATAGGGGACAATAATAATAAATATATATACTATTGTCCTGTTGGTTAACGTTTCGGCTACTTCAGAAACATTTCAGTAACATATGATAACAATCAAATGAAATTAGAATCCAATCCCAACTATTATTTTATTAAAGAACTGACTAAACGAGATGTAAAAGGTTTTGCTATTGGTGGGTTGAGTGGAGGAGAAGAGAAAGAATCATTTTGGAAAATGGTGACTTTATCAACAGATTATTTACCTAGTGATAAACCAACATATTTAATGGGAGTTGGGTAAGGTCAATTTGTAATCATTCTGTATAAAATATACATCTAGTTGTTACTTTCTGTATTTCTCCTGTTGTTTACTACACTGACCATTCATGATCTGATATAATTCTTCTTTAAATTGTGTTCAGTCAATGCCATCAATAGTTTCGAAAGATTTTCTTCATTTTGTTTTTTTCATAATAGTAAATAAACTAAAAATTCATTAATTTACAAAATTCTTCTTAAAAATTGATGTCAAGTGTCAAAGTGTCAAAAGTTCCTAGAAGCCATCTTCTGAATATCTCCACAATGTCAAGTTTTATAAACTTTGTCTAATATATTGACTGCAATAGGCACCATTTCTTGTATCATGGAAATTATTCGATGCAGACTTGATTGGATTGTATGCTACCTAATACAGCCAATGAGAGTACCCGACAGAATGGATAGAAAGACTGTAAACATGAAGCTATAATAGTTACAGTCTATATGTAAATCGCTCTGATTGGCTGTATTTACTAGTGTACAATCCAATCAATTAACTGTATTCCATGATACAATAAAGGTGACTATTGCAGTCAAGGTATAAGACAAAGTTCATAATAGTTTGACATTGTGAAGATGTCTTCTGAATGAGTTCCTTGATACCTTGGACCTATGCCTCCAACGGTAAAGTTTTGATCGCCTCCAACGGTAAAGTTTTGATCGATGGACAAATGAAAAAATTTATGATAAAAACAAAACAAAACGTTTGTATTTTAGATTTGCTGTTGATCTGGTTGTTTGTGTGGCATTAGGCTGTGATATGTTTGATTGTGTTTTTCCAACTAGAACTGCAGTGAGTATTATCATACATGTATATATTGAAGTATATTGATATACGGTAAAGATTTTAAAGTATATATTGTTAACGGTATAAAGAAGATTAACTATCATGATAGTTAGTGAAAATATTACAGTAGTATTTACTTATTTGTTTAATTTTGAGTTGACATGTGCACGAAAAGGACGTTTCTATTCGTAGAATTAGTGAAAAGCATATAAATACAGTACACATTAGAGTTCTTATTTAATCTGGACGGACTTATCAGTTACTCTATACCAGAGATTCCCAACCTTTCAGCCTTCACACTCATAGAGTAATCATTTGAAACCTTCACATCCCCGAAACAATGGACATTCAAAACATCATTGCTGTTTTCTTTGGAACGATATATATCCCCTCAAGAAAATTCTCCTACAACAGTTGTTCACGCCCACGACATCCCAGTCCCACACCCCGAGGGGTGAAAATACCCCAGCTTGGGTACCAGACCACGTATTCTCGAAACGATCTTAGCGCTAGGATGTCCTAGAATCAATGTTAGAAGATAAGAACCTAGGACATCCTAGCTCTAAGATCATTTCGAGAATATGAGGCCACGGCTCTATAACTTTAGATTTGATTAGAAATGTGCATGAAAGGGGAGCTATTTTATTGTTTCTATTTTAGAGGTTTGGTACGGCCTTAGTTCCTACTGGTGATTTAAATTTAGCCAAGAAAATGTACAGTGAAGATTTCCGACCTATAGATGAAGATTGTGTGTGTTCAACGTGTAAAACTTACAACCGTGCCTATCTACATACTATTGTAACCCAAGAAACTGTTGCTTGTTCGTTGATAACAATTCATAATATAGCCTATCAGGTATGTTTTACATTTGGCTGCCATTCTTTCCTGTCTTGGACAGTCTAATTAAAAATACACCAAACTTTCGGTCCGTTTTTAATTAGCTTTTATGTAAAATAGCTGCTTCAGTTAGGGTCTAAAGACTGGCCTCTTAAACAATCGTCAAATTAACCTTTCCCTGCTTTAACCAATCAAATTTCTGACCTCTCCAACGCTGGCATTTTGAGAGAGGTGTGACCATTTTTCATTTGTTAATTACCTACCCCGATTTCCAGGATTGGTTGGTCTTGGTCAATTTGTCCTTTTATTTCATTTTTATCTTATTTTGTTATATTTTAATGTTTAATTCAGCTAGGTTCCCTTATACTCAGTTTTACTGTATTTTTCACTAAAAGGAGATAATCATATTGAAATTCACCTTTAGATAAGTGGGCCAAGCATGGGTCGTATTTATTTCCATTTTATTATATGTTCACAATATGCTACAAGTCATTAGCTTTCATATGATATGCATTTTAATAGGGTAGGGCTTGGGTTCGTATTTTTAATGTATTATTTTAACTCATAAGAGTACCAGGCAAGTCGGTTTATGGGGCACTCAAAATGTATAAATAGAGTTTAATTTCTTTCATTCGAGGAACTCTGTCATATGAATTCACAGAAACACTGAGACTCCAGAACACAGAAGTCTGAAGGAACAGGTTCCCTATGTAAGTAGAGAGGCTTACATAGTAAGAGGAGATTAGGGAGATTTTGAATGAAAGATACTAGGTGTTAGTATCCTTATCTACTGTACCGATACCCGTTTCCGCTCGGCGGGTACTCAACTTTGTTGAATAAAGTATATTTTGTTGTCAAGTGTGAATTATATATGTCTCTTTGTCCTATATCTTGGTGTCTGCGGGTAACAGAGGGTGAAAGAATTTGATTGGTTAAAGCAGCCTGGATAGGATAAAAGGTTATTTTTACGAATGTATGAGAGTCCCGTCTTTAGACCTTAACCGAAGTGGCTATATTTACAATAAAAGTTAAAAAATAAACGGGGAATTATGATATTAATTAAACTGTGTCTTGGACTAATATAATAGATTAATATCAGCTTAGGACCAATGATAAATGAATTGTGACTTTTACTCTAGATTTTGCCATAATTTGGACGAGATTTTGATTATTTAGCATTCTTTAATCTTTGACATTTTCCCTAAAGCTAAATCGGTAATGAATGATGAATTTCATTCTGTCTTCTTGGGTGAGGTTATTCACTTCGAGTATTTAGCAGTGATTTGTCAAGTGATAGTAATACGAGACTTAAATAAACTGTACATACTTTGTAAGATAAACCGGTTATTCACTGATGCGTTTAAGGCAATATTGTGACTCTTTGTTCAACATTTCACATGTTTTTGTTTTGTGTTTATTCTCACTTGTGAATCTGAATGACAAGCCTTTCATGTTAAAATTACCAGTATAAAGCTGAACTTATAATTGATTTTAGTTATTGGCCAATCGGATTACTAGAATACAAAAATCATTCTAAATTAAGTTTTTGTGAAACATGTCACAGGTATAGGTCCAGTAAGTAATCGCCTCCATTTATTACCGTGATGTGTTACAGAATCTTGGAGATAGACCATTTAGATATTTAAATATAATATTTTGTATTTCCAGTTACAACTGATGAAGAGAATACGAGAGAGTATATTAAAAGATGAATTCCCAGTGTTTATTCAGACATTTTTTACCACTATGTTCCCTAATAAACAATATCCAATCTGGGCAGTGAATGCTTTAAAATCTGTCAATGTGACTTTAACCTGATAATAATCATGTATTTAGCCAAGAAACTGGAATTTATTTGGAGAGAAGATGATATCTTATTTTTACTCGCTGTGAAAATTACTAGTGTAGATCGCAAACGATTTTTGAGTGAATTGCTTTTGATTTAATCAAAATAAATCAATTTGGCACGTGAATACGAAAGAGACTGCATTTGTAACCTGCTTTTAATCAAATTTGGCACGTTATGTAGGCCTATATTGTTGAGACATTTGAGTTTATATGCACAATTTTTCTTCGAAATAGATTGGTGATCATGATTAACATTACAATTTTCTTCTTGAATACTGGTGTATGTATGTATGTAATGTATATTAGTGATATCTTCAATCCACTATTTAAGTTCAATTAACGAACAGTTTTGAGTTATTGACCTTCGGCGAACACATTGACGGGCTAGCAAACTCATTGACGCAGAGGTGAACTCATTGACGTAGTGGCGAACACATTGACGGGCTATCAAACTCATTGACGTAGTGGTGAACTCATTGACGTAGTGGCGAACACATTGATGGGCTAGCAAACTCATTGACGTAGTGATGAACTCATTGACGGGCTAGCAAACTCATTGACGCAGTGATGAACTCATTGACGTAGTGGCGAACACACTGACGGGCTAGCAAATTCATTGACGTAGTGATGAACTCATTGACGGGCTAGCAAACTCATTGACGCAGTAGTGAACTCATTGACGTAGTGGCGAACTCATTGACGGGCTAGCAAACTCATTGATGCAGAGGTGAACTCATTGACGTAGTGGCGAACTCATTGACGGGCTAGCAAACTCATTGACGCAGTGGCGAACTCATTGACGTAGTGGCGAACTCATTGACGGGCTAGAAAACTCATTGACGCAGAGGTGAACTCATTGACGTAGTGGCGAACTCATTGACGGGCTAGCAAACTCATTGATGCAGAGGTGAACTCATTGACGTAGTGGCGAACTCATTGACGGGCTAGCAAACTCACTGACGTAGTGGCGAACTCATTGACGTAGTGGTGAACTCATTGACGTAGTGGCGAACTCATTGACGTAGTGACGAACACATTGACGGTCTAGCAAACTCATTGGCGTAGTGATGAACTCATTGACGGGTTAGCAAACTAATTGACGTTGTGACGAACGCATTGACGCTCGGATGAGCAATTTTTCTTTGTCTAGAACGTTTGATAAACACGCTTATTAGCCCAATTAAAGGTGTTTTAATCATCTTTTGCACCAAGTGAAGTTTTGTTATGATACAGTTTCATGATCAGTACACTTCTAAGTTCTCTTTTATGAAAAAAAAAGAGTGTCAACACTTTAAGTGCATCTCGCCTCGGTGATAATAAGAGGTCGACATGCCACAAAGCCCTAACTGTTTTGTAAACAGGTACACAAGAAATAGTTAAAATAAGTGAAGCGGAAACTAAATATTAGATGAAAACTGTTACAAACGTTTTATTATATTATTATGTAAGAATTTCAGCAGACCTTCAAATTAGCAGTGAAAACATGGTTGGATGTTGGTGGGGATTACGTGACTAACGAGGACAGATAAAAACGCCATTAGATCATTAACCTCAAAGTTCTGTAAAGTCGAGCAAATATATTTCAACACATCCAGGTATCGTCATGGTTATTTCCTTTTGTGTCTAGTTCTGTCTATTTTTTGACCTAGACTCGGAACCGTCATTTAGATCTATATATACCCGCTGTGATATCTGATGTAAGATAGAGAGGTTTGTAACACGAAAAGAACACAACATGCACAGCTCTCGAACAACCAATACATTGTAGGAAAGGAATTCATGGACTGAAAGAGGTTGGATATCTGATTTTGACTAGCCTTCACAAAATGCCACAAAAGTGCCCTAGTGAGGTTTACCAAGTGGGTATTGGCTTACTTGTGATTCAAATGTAACTACATAGCCCAGGGTAATAGAAAGTAGTTGTATAAAAGCAATCCTTTAAGGAGCCATGTTACATATTTTATAAATGGTTTCTAAACGGTCTTTTTGGCCCATTTTATGAACTATAATCCAGAAAGTGTTTCAGCATAAAATTACCGACTGAATTTAAAAATAAATTGATGAGGTTGGTCAAAGTTTAAACGTTTTAGTTATCGTTTGAATTAAATAATTCAGCAAACAATGAAAAATAGTAAGCAAAAATTTTAATTCAGAAAACAAAAATGAAAAATGGATACAATTAAATCATAAAATAAAAAAAACAATTAAACATGTCCTAAATAAACAAAGTATGGCCATTATTTGCTTCAATTTTTTTAAAACGCCTCGTTGGTCATTGAGATTAAATATGAAAAATCTGTATAGTACTTAACAACAAAGACATGCTACAATCAACATGAGAGTTTAATGCTGAACATGACAAATATTAGAATTAAAATTCTCATCTGGTGGATACCATTACTGCTATTGACGTCTGTGGTTGTAGGAGATTCTGTCGTTTGTAGGTAGCAAGTTGTCAAGAGTTGAACAAGTTCCCTACCTACAGGATCATAATTCCATCTAGTGTAAAAATAATCTCGTAAATCATTATTTACCATACATGGGTGTGCGAACATCGTATCAACATACGACTTACATTCTGATGAACAAACTTGGCTCGAATTGCCACAAGAGGGAATAATCTGTGTAAATTTGAAGTTTTCGTCATCTTTTAATGTTCCAAAAGTTGTGAAGTTGCATCCTTTAAATGGATTCTCTTCTGGGTATTCAGCGATGTGACAAAATGCCAGAGACTTCCATGAAGTGCAAAAATCCAGCATCACATTTTGTCTTGGATAATAAGTTATAAACCCAAAACACATCTCATCACTTGTAGCATCACCAAAATAAGTCGTCGCAGCTTTATTCTTAGACGAGAAAGTACAGGTAGTAGAGAGAGTGTCACCTGGTAATAATTCTATTGGATTCTCCTGACTGAAATATACAGAAAAAACACGGTACAAATTTTCAAATAGAACTCGCACAAATATGTAATACAATGAAAACTGTTGTTATAACTGAGATGGAAAGACTATTAAATCTCAAACAACTACCACAACTAACATACTAATAATAGCCCAGAATCACCCATTTGACTACCAACAACTACTTATAGTTTGCGATGTCAATACCCGCTGGAAGCGACCGTTAACTCATCGTCTACCAACCAACCATAAATGAAAAATGGTAAAAATTGCGATACTGCAGATAATATCTTTGAATTTTTTAACAGCCGACATTAGTCGATAATTAACATGAGGAATAACCGAAACCATAATGCATATCCCGTTTTTCTGTTCAAGGCGAGTTTGAAGCCATCTTCTTTCTTTCATCTTGGTGGCAGAATTTAGGTCTGTGTTATATAAAATATGACCATAACATTAACATTGGCTAATAACATGCAAACAGACATTAACTATAGGTTCTGTTTTAATACCAATAACAACTCGTCCCAATCTTTTCTCGTCTGTTTTAATCAAACAAATTGTGACTACATTGTCGTATTTAAAACTCACTTGTGAATCACCGGACTATCATAGTTATATTCTACATCGTTTGTGATGTCAATTATTTTTGTACCATTTCTAAATACTTGTATCTGCTGGGATCGACCTGATAGAATAAATAAATGTACACACTGTTATAACTATATTCATAAAGATTAAAGTAGTGGCTGCACTAGTGGGGGAACAAGAGGGGCGCGCGGGGGAGGGGGGGGGGGGGGGGGGGGTTTTTTA